GTTTTTTCTTATTTCAAGAATCTTACCAAATAAAATTTTCTTACTCCATTTGCAGATACAGTATTTTTGACTTAATTTGAGTCAAATTTTCAGACTAACAAGACAAATAATCTTACACATTCTGAAAACAAGATGATTATTCTTACACAATCAGTTCTTGTTTAGTAAATCAGTCTGAAAACAAGATCAAAAAGACTTTTTGGCTGATATAAGAGTTTAAAACTTGGTTAGGTGGACAGTTTTTACAGTGTGAGTTTGGAGAAACAGGGATTTATTCTGACAGAGTTGATGAGCTAAAAGCTAAAAATGGATTTCAGAAACTGCACCATGTGATAAAGTTCAAGATAACTGGTATTATAATCAATAAATAATAATTGATTTCTTACATTTTGAAATAAAATAAATAAAATAAATAAATAACTGCCCTCAACTCTAGCAGCAGGTCTGAGCTCCACTTGGATAAGTCTTTAGCTCACAGTCCTGTCAGAATCAAACTGAGTTTCTCCAAACTGAAGTCACAGAGTTATCTACAACAGGTAAGATATTAACTGTTCATTACTAATCAACAGAACCCCACTTCAAAAGATTTTAACTGTTAAGTTTTTCTATGGATATTTTGTAGATATAGGCTTAGTCCCAGAGGTTTGCCCAGTGGTGGGCGTGGTTCTGCTAATCAGCTAACCGCTAACGGACCAGTTGGTTTCTGCTATGTTTTACCAGCTTTAAGTCTGCTAACAGCTAACAGCTAACAGCTAACTAACAACAGGTTTGTGTCAGACCCACCGGTCTTCAGCTGGAAGGAGGCGAAGCCTCTGTGACAGTCGGTTAGCAATCAGCTGTTAGCGTTAGCTTCCTCTAAGTTTTACTCGTTTAGCTGTTTAGCATTACGCTCCGTAACATTTTGTACATTTAGTGGTTTAGCACAAAGCTTTATTTTAGTTTTTATTTTGGTCAGCTGTTCCCACCACTGGTGGTAAGGCTGGAAGACAACTTTCAAAGAATCAAACCTCATAAAATAAAAATAAAACTTTATTAGTAAAAATAATAAAGAAGAAAAAGTCATGAAAAACTGGAGGAGATGTTTGGTCTGATTTTATGACATCATTACGTGATCCACTTCTCTGCTGTCACTTTATTTTCATTTCATACCTGCTGTTGAAACAAAGCTGCTTCAGTTTGTGCACCGTTGTGTTTCAGCTGCCTCCTCCAAACAGTTTGTGTTGCAACGTTTCTTTTAACAAACAGAAACCTGACAGAGCTCCTCTCCATCCCTTCTGACAGCCTCCATCACCGTCTGTCTCTCTGTGCTTCTGCTCAGCTTCATGACCAAAACATCAAACACTGAAGCTCTTTAACATTATTTTCCTATAAACCCCTCTGGACTTTCTGCCATTTTTAAGCTTATAAAAAGATTAAAGAGTAAAATATAGAAACTGATCTCTTCTGTTTTGTGTTACCTTTTATTTCTTTCTCAGGATTTATTTTTTGTTTTGTTTTTCCTTCATGTCGCTGAGTAAAACAAGCAAAGATGTGAGGTTTCAGCATTAAACCTGTCCTCTGTGTAACTGGGACCAGTGTGAGTCTGATGGTCATGATTCCATGTAAACCTTCAAAATAAAGTGCAGAGGCTGTGACGTCAAACACATGTCAGGTCCTTATTCAACCACTCGTTTTCACCAGTTTGATGCAGGTTAATAAGATCTGATGGCCATCTCACAGGAAACGACTCATAATTAGTTTTAAACCAGATTTCAAGCAATCAGAATATAAACTGGGGCTCAGTCTCAGTTATATCTGTAAAATGATGTCTATGTATTTATGTCTATAGCTTCACTATGTTGAATCAGGTTAACTCAAACAGATAATCAGCTGTAGATTTATACAATGATTAATTCCTGAAAGTTTCTTGAAATCTGTTCACAAGATATTTTGCTAAACAAACATAAATGTTCAGCCTTCAGCAGCCACACTGCAAAAACTGTCCACACTGTAAAAACTGTCCACCTAACCAAGTTTTAAAACCTTATAACAGCCAAAAAGCCTTTTTGCTCTTGTTTTGAGACTGATTTACTAAACAAGAACTGATTGTGTAAGAATAATCATCTTGTTTTCAGAATGTGTAAGATTATTTGTCTTGTTAGTCTGAAAATTTGACTCTAATTAAGTCAAACATTTCTGCCAGTGGAGTAAGAACATTTTACTTGGTAAGATCCTTGAAATACTTGATTTGACTCAATTTTTTCTTATTTCAAGAATAATCAAGCGCCTCTAGTGTTTAGACATGGAACTGCATCCAGCTGATGCTGGATGCAGTTCCATGTCTAAGCACTAGAGGTGCTTGATTATTCTTGAAATAAGAAAAAATTGAGTCAAATCAAGTATTTCAAGGATCTTACCAAGTAAAATGTTCTTACTCCACTGGCAGAAATGTTTGACTTAATTAGAGTCAAATTTTCAGACTAACAAGACAAATAATCTTACACATTCTGAAAACAAGATGATTATTCTTACACAATCAGTTCTTGTTTAGTAAATCAGTCTGAAAACAAGATCAAAAAGACTTTTTGTCTGATATAAGGTTTTATAACTTGGTTAGATGGACAGTTTTTGCAGATAAAAAGTCTAATTTAAACAGGAAGACGAGGACAAAGCAGGGAAAATTCTTCTGCTCGAATTCGAGGAAAAAGTTCCTCCTAAACTCAAAAAGCACAGTTTAGTCATCGCTTTTAAAAATGTGGTTAATTTCTTTTTCTACTGAAGTGCTTGATAAAATGCAGCTGCAGCAGTTGACACATAGGAAGTGTTCGTCATTGTGGGTGAACTTGGAAGTGGTTTGTGGAAAGTTTTCATCAGGTCGTCAAACACAAAACTGTTGCTAACAAAGTTTAGACCATGCTACTCTGACAAGTTCAAGTTTGACCTAAAGCATAATCTTTTTCTTTGTCTTCCTGTGTGTGGAACACAACCAGTGTGTTTTATGAGTTTATGTGAAGTTTGGAGTTTAGAAGGAGTTTTACATGTGGTGGTTTCATGTCTCAGTTTGTTTCATGTCCAGTAAACAGTTCTTACAGTTGTGTTGCTTCGATCGAAGACTATAACTTTAGAAATTACAACTTTTATTTACTGTTCTGAACCTCTAAAGTCCTCTGAGATGTGTCGGTCAGGTCTTTTGAAATGGGGTTATGTGGAAAATAAAAAAACAGTATCTTACCTGCCATCTTTCATTAAAACCTGTCCAGTGGTTCATTAGATATTTTGCTAACACGTGCAGACTCTAACAAAAAACGTTATCTCTCATCTTTGCCTTTCAGCTGAGGACAAATAATAATTTACAAATGTTTATTAAGCCTCTGTTAATTAGACATTATATGGAGTATCAGATGTGCCTCATGAAGACGTGCTACAGCTAGCTGCTGGAAAAGAATGTAAATTGGCAAAATGAGAGCCGGTCTATAAAAAATATGTTTGCAGTAATCACCTTGTTCCAAATCCCCTTTGATTTTGGCTTTAGCTAGTCCCTCCCATTAAAATGAACCGTTGTGCAAACTAAAAATGTTCAAAGAGATATTTCAGATAGTGATGTGATCGATACTGAAATATTGATACTACGATACAGAACTTTATGCTCTAGAACTGATACTAAAATCAAAATATTGATACTTTGATACTTCATTTATTTCACATAATGTTTATCTTTAACAGGAAAATAACTAAACTGTTCCAATCTTGTCTAAATCATGTGTGGTTGGAGGAACTACTTTTTCTTCCTCTTGGGTAATGCATGCGCACAGTGGCCTGTGTTCAGTCAGTCAGTCAGTCTGTGGATGTATGGCAGGTCATTTTAACATAAAATCTGTTTCTTCTGACTGTAATTACATTCTAGCATTAGCTCCAGCCAGGGACCTTCTTACAAACACACAAACAATGCTACAAAATATACAAAGTTACAACTTTTAGAATGTTTTTTCTCACTTTTATTCACTATTCAAAAATTATTATATTTTTTAAGAATAAGAAATTTAAATTGTGCTAAAGGACTATAGGCTTAGGGTTATAAAGACTTAAATTAATAAATAAATGACTCTGTCGTGTAATATAAAGTTATTTGAAAAACGTTACTTTTTAAAATTTACCAGACACATTATGTATGTTATCACAAAGTATCAGATCAGTATCACAGATACCAGCCACATTTTACTCAGTATATTGGAAAGAAAACTGGCCGTATGGAATTATTACTCCTAACGTTTCTACAGAACAGCAGAGCAGGAGAAGCAGAGTTATTCTCCTGTTGAAACACTTCAAATGATGACTTTTAGAGAGAACAGAGCTGAAAGGGAGTTTGGCTTTGCTCTGACTTGTTATGATGAGAGAATTTCTGCAGAAGTCACAGTGACCCAGGGTTCAACCAAGAGAGGAAGAGGAAGGAGAATAATCTGGAAAAAAACAAACTTCTCACAGGCTTTGAGTCATAATTCTGTCAGGATGTTAAAGCAGGGTCTCTCCTGGTCTGGGAAGAGTTTTTTAAAGACATAATGTTGGTTAAATTGTGATTTAAAATATGGTTCATTTAATTACAAGATATATTAATGATTGACCTGTGTTTTGTTTTTGCATATTTTATATGCTTGTGTTCAGTTCTGCTGTTAGAGTGAAGTGTAACGATACAGAAAATTCACGATTCGGTTCAATACTTTAGTCTCACAGTTCGATATTATTTCAATACAAAAAGAGAAATGTCCATGCTCCTTTTAACTTGTAATTTATTTAAATTAATTATGATCATTTGTTTAACCTCAAAAGTCCAGTTTTTAAATTAAATGTTGCTGAAACAGCAAGTTTCTCAGTGGATCTGAGCTCAAAAACACAGCCTAGGTGGAGTAGTCGAACACAGATCCACTGATCCTTCAACACAGAGCATCTTCAGAAGACAAGTTGATAAAATAAATGTTAAAAATCTGTATTGTTCGAAGCAGGAAGAGACATCAAAGGGGAACTCTTTAAGAAAATGAACTTCCTGTTCTTTATTGAAACAATATCTTTACAGCTCTAACTCTTCTTCATCTCTCTAACAGACTCAAAATAATCTAATCTAATAATCTGTACAGTCTGTGTTTGTTAATTACATGCAGACATTCCATTTTGACATCACTTCCTGTTGCTTCACATGCAAATTAGTGCTGTACCAAACAATTATTTTCTAATTGATTAATCTAACTATTATTTTTTCGATTAATCGATTATTCTAACA